TGGTCTTTTTGAGACAGTGTCTCCCTGTAGCCCCAGCTGTCCTGGAACTCACTATGTAGAGCAGGCTGCCCTTGAACTCACAGAGAGCTGCCTGCCTCTGCCTCCCGAGTGCTGGAATTAAAGGCATGCGCCACCACGCCCAGCTTTTATTTATTACTTTTATTCTATGCGTACGAGTGAACTGCCTGCATGTATGTGAGGGCACCCGTGTCATGCAATCCCATGGAGATCAGAAGAGGGCTTTGGATTCATTCAAGAAAACAATGTAGTTTCATATGTTAAGATAAATACATTTAAATGTATGAAGTCCTTTGAAGATGAAATATGTTAGAGAAAAACAATGTGTAAGAGAAATATTTTAATTATTTAAATTATTTTTCTTAATTTATTATTTTTATTTCATGTGTATGTGTGTATAGCCTGCATGTAGGTAAGTGCACTCGTGTCATGAAATGCCCATGGAGGACAGAAGAGGTTGTCAGATCCCCTGGAACTGGACTTATGGACAGTTGTTAGCTGCTATGTAGGTGCTGGGATTCAAACCCAGGACTTCTGCAATAACAGTCACTGTTCTTAACTGCTGAGCCACATCTCTCCAGCACTTAATTATTATTTAAATAAGAACTGAAGTGGTGGAGCAGGCCTTTAGTCTTAGCACTCCGGAGGCAGAGGCAGGTGGATTTCTGTGAGTTCCAGGCCAGCTGGGGCTACAGGGAGACCCTGTCTCAAAATAAATAAATATTTACAATTTTTTAAAAAAAGAACTGAAGTCAAATATGATGTCACATGCCTCAATCTTAGAGCTGGAGAAGTGAAGACAGGAGGAATATAAATTCAAGGCCAGCCTCTACTACATAGACACATCCTGTCTCAAAACAAATAAATGAATAAATGAAAGAGTGAGAGCAAGGAGGGCTGGAGAGATGACGAGGGGAGAGATGGAGAAGGGAGGAGAGAGGAGGGACATAAGAAAGAGGAAGGGCTGGAGAGATGGCTCAGCAGTTGAGAGCACTGGCTGCTCTTCCAGAGGACCCAGGTTCGGGTCCTAGCATGTACATGGCAGCTAACAACTGTCTATAATTCAAGTTCCAGGGGATTCGAAACTTCGAGCCTTTGGGGGCATTATATGCAAGGGTGCACTTAATATACATGCTGGCAAAGCATTAATACACATAAAAATAAGTAAATCAAAAAAATGTTTTAAATAAAAAATAAGGATCAAAGAGGCAATGTTTACTTTCAAAGATATTATACCTAATTGATTTGATATTACTTAACAATGAACTCCACTATATAAATCAATAGTCCAGTAATTTCCCTTATTTCTAGTTATTCCATTTTTCACTAAGAATCAAGTTTTTTCATCAGGATACAAGACATAGAGAGTTCCAGGACAGCTGAGGCTACAGGGAGACCCTGCCTCAAAAAAGACCAAAAAAAAAAAAGTAATCGACATGTTTACTTTCCTTTTAAACAGAAATGAATTGTACCTGGTGCTTTGTCTCTTGACAGAGAGGTTAGAACTATGTGCTGGATATCTTTAGTGTCAACTTGACACACCTGGGTTGAGGGAGCCTCAATTGGGGAATTGACTCTATTTGACTGGCCTGTGGCCATGTCTGAGGGGCACCTTCTTGATAAGTGATGTGGGAGGTGCCACCTTGGGCAGGTGGGCCTGTGTTGCATAAGAAGGTGCAGGCTGAGCAGGGGCCAGGGGAACAAGCCAGTAAGCAGCATTCCTCCATGGCCTGTTCTCTAGCTCCTGCCTCCAGGTTCCTGTCCTGAGTTCCTACCTTGGGCTCCCTGATGAACTGTGACCTGGGGAGATGTAAGCTGAATAAACCCTTTCCTCCCCAAGTTGGTATTGGTCAGAGAATTTTGTCACAGCAATGAAGAAC